ATGGACCTCTAACAATGTCTCGTATACATTTTCAGAAGAATTGACCTATACTAGCATATCATGGGTGATGTTAAGTCTCTTAATCATCTACCATCTTTTTTTCACTTTCACGGTTCCTTCTTCAGTTCATTGAAGTCTGGGCATTAGGAAAAGGCTACCTCAAAGGCACCGACCAGGCTATCCTTATTGTTTTTATGCTTCTCTGGTTTGGTCTCCATATTCTTGAGCGTGCATGCCACCAGTGAGTGCCTACAAGAAGAATAGTCAAAAATCAAATAAAAAAATAACATAAAAATAGAGACTCATTGATTGAGGGGGAACCTCCGTTTTTACTTAACAAATATCCCTTGATGTCTAGTGATTTGACTTTTCTCAGTGATGTTTAGTTTCTCTTGCCAGAGGTCTAGCCATCCGATCACTACGAGGATTAACTCTAGCTCTGTGGCCTCTCAAGGATTGCACACACACACACATTCATTATATGAGCTCTCATGTTTGTCTTTGAGTTGTGTATTCCCATGTAGCTTATGCTCATTGATTGATATTTACCTAATTTGCTCATGATATTGTGCTTCATATTGTCCAAATTGTGAGTTTACGGGCTTCATAGTTTGTGGATTATCTCATCTTAGTATCAAATTCTTGCTCTTGTGCTCACCTCTGTTTGTTTCAGGTCCCTCTTGATAGTGTGAGTTGGTTTTATTTGCTCAGAAGGGTGCATTTTGGCTTTGTTGGTTTTTCTTTCCCACTCGAGCATGCACTATTGCGCTCGAGCGTAGATTTCTCTCATCCAGCATTTTTTCAGACTGCGCAAGATTCTGTAGGCGTGTTTTTTACGATCGAGCGCTTGAGTCATTGCTCGAGCGAAACAACAAGCGTAAAGAAGCACGCCCGAGCGTCAACATACTCGCTCGAGCGGACTACACTTCTTTTTAAACCCAACCCTCGCCCTTTCAATCCATTTTTTCCAAATCATGCCGTCTCTCTCCTAGGGCTTCTTGTGCACTCTCAATCTTCGTGATTTCCTCTTGGTCTCTCTGTTCAGTGTGTGCTCTTTTCTCCCTCCATTCGTCTTTTTTGCCTCAGGTATGTCTTCTTTCTTTTTCTTGCTATTCCTTTTGGTTTGTTTTGTTTGTCGTTTGTCTCTTTCTATTCTTATCAGCCTTGAGACTTGGATAGGGTAGCTTGGGCTTTGTTTGTTTTTGGTTTTCCCTTGCTCACACACTTCCTTCGTAGGTGTAAATAGTTTTCGTATTACTCTTGGTTCTGTTTGGGTCTGCTTTAGATTGGACATTGGCTTTATTTTCTGCATTATTCTTATTTATTTTGGTCTTGTGTTTTCTATTGCTTAGTTATTAATGGCATGTCTTGCTTACTCCTGTTTTTGGTGTCATTGGTTCTATTTTTTTTTTTTTTTTGTTACTGATTTCTATTTCTAGGGCTTAGAATGATGCTATATTGTTTTTTTTTTTGGTAACTAATTACTTTTGGGTTTACATTTTGTTTTTCTGGTCGTGTTACTACTATTTTTTTCTTTTGGATACTAATGTATTTGACCATTGTATTTTGGGGGTGGGTGATTATCTGTGCTATTGGGGTATGTATTTGACCATTGTATTTTGGGGGTGGGTGATTATCTGTGCTATTGGGGTTATTATCTCCCTGGTTTTAGCCATGTTCTCCTCTACAGCTAAACGCTACAAGTCCACCATTAACCGCCCACATTATAACCCCGACCGATTTCCCTCTGCTGAAAAAGCCAAGTCATTTAGGGAATCGTACATCTTTCGCACGGTCCACTTAGAGCGAAATGTCCAGCCTAACACCTTTGAGTCCATTCCCATTCGACCTTTGTTTGATCCATTGGGGGGTGACTTGGTCCTTTCTTTCTCCGGCCGTTAACACCTTGACTGGGTTCGAGAATTTTATTGTAACATCGAGGGCATTGATGATATTGGCCCCTCTTTCAAGACATGGGTTAGGTCGTCCATTGCCATTACCCCAGATCTTATCCATGAGCTATTAGGCATCGAACGTGTCTTTTCGTATTACTATCCCTTTCTTGTCCGACCCACATGTGACTTCAACGAGGTGGCCACTGCATTGTGTGATACATCCCATCAATGGCTTAAGTCTTTTTCCGGTTTCGTTTGCTCAACCGTATTGTTTGTGCTAACATCATAGTCACCACCTATAGTTCCGAAATCAATCAAGAACAAGGCTTTGTTCTCTTTTGCATAGATTGTCACCTCTCTATCAATCTTGCTACCCTCGTTATCCAAAAAATAGTCGCCGCCTTTGAAAGAAAGTCTTTAGGGTTACTGTATGATTGTCTCATCAACTGTCTCTTGTCCAAACTAGAGGTCCCGGTCTTTGAGGACGATGAGTTTGCCACTCCCATTAAACCTTTCACCAAAAAGATCGTCTCCTAGAGTCAGTCCCATGTCAAGGGGGGTCCTTCTAGGGTGGGTAGTTCCAGTGCAGGTGCAGGAGAAGATCCTCTAGCTGAGGAGTCAGTCCCATGTCTGTTGCTTAGTCTTCCTAGCATATTACTCAGATCTTGACTCTGCTTCAGCTTCGGCAGCCTCCACCACTGTCGGCTCTTTGATGCCTATTTCTCTCTACTTGGACCGTATATTTTTTTTCTTCGCACAATTTCTATTCTTGTTTATCTTCTATGTTTTATTTTCCTTTGTCTCCCAGACAAAAAGGGGGAGATTATTTTGGGGTATTTTTGTTCATTGGTTGGTTGTTCCGTAAGTTGTTTACATCCATAGTTAATTGGTTGTTGTGAAATAGATTTGGATATATATTTGTCTATTCTGCTTATTTCAATCTATTTGTCTTATTTGGTTCCACAGTTTTGGTTTGTATGGTATTTTTCACAGGTGGATTGTTCAAATTGTTTTTAAATGTTTCTCAATCAAATCGGCTTTTGTGGTTTTTGGTGTTTTTTTTATTTTTTATTTTTGGTTGGCTTGGTGATATTGATTGTGTTAATTAGTGTGTCTAGTACGTGTGTTTGTTAGGAAAAATTGTTAGAAAAGTTTTTTCCGAGAATTAAGAAAAAGGGAGATTGTTAGGAACCTACTTATTGCCAATTCCGCGAACAAGCTTGGGTAAATCAAGTTGTAATTTTTCCTCAGTTTTTAGTCTTCCCGCTCGAGCTGGGAAAATAGCACTCAAGCAGCGTTTCCACCTTCTCAGTATTTTGGCTTGTTTACAAAGAATACTATGAGGTGTGATTTTACGCTCAAGCGTATGTCCCTACACTCAAGCGTAGACCCTAGTTTGGAACACGTGTATTAGTGACCTCGCTCAAGCGGCCATTCCTGTGCTCGAGCGGAGATCGTATATTCTGCTGCTATAAAACTACAGTTTACTTCAATTCTAGGGCATGACTTCCAGATCTTCTTTGAGGGTTCTAGGGTTTTCTTCTGGGGCTATTTTGTTAGTTTTCTTTGATGCTTGATTGAGTATTAAACTCACATGGTTTGACAAGCATACATCAAAGAGTTTGATTGTTTGAGTGTTCTACTTCAAGAGTGTTCTTCTTTTGTGGAATCCGGAGATTCAAGCGTGGAGTATTTGAAGGAGTTTGAAGTTGTGCGCAGTCGTTGATTCGACACGGATGTTGTGGATTCAACATCAATCTGATCAATTCCGAGACGAAGGTTGCAGTGAAAGAGATACCGATTGTTGAAGACAAATTGACAGAGTTTGGGTAATTTGTTTGGTTAATTTGTATTCTTTCTTTCTTTCATAGTGGATTGATAAGTGGCGTTTAACCCGTGATTTTTTAATCACAATTGGAGGTGCTCCAATTGTGATTTTTCCACGTAAAAATCTATTGTGTTGATTTATTGATTTTGAAGCAACAATCTAAATCACTTTCGTATGTGTAAAATGATTTAGATTGTCTATTTTAATTGTTTAGGTATTGTTGCAATTAATCTAGTCTGAATCACGAATCACCTAGGTTTTTCAAAAGTGATATGTTAATGCTAATGGATGTACCACACATGATTTAAATATGAATATGAACATGACACTGTTTGATACGACTATGCTTATTTCTCTGATTGATATGATACGAAACTAGACATCATTCATTAAAATCTTTACTCTGTTATTATTCATTGAGCTTTCACTCACTTTTTATATTATGTATATAAGTGATCAAGCGTGTGACCAGGCTCAGAGTTGAAGACCTAGAGTCCCTGTTTTGTCAGCCAACCATTGTGCCTCTCGTGGAGGTTCCGGAAATAGTTTAGTGGTCGAGTTTTGCGAACTTTTGTTGTTTTGTAAACAGTTCTTTTGCCTTATTTTGTATTATGACAATGAAGAATGGACATATAAATGACGTCAAACGTGGGTTTATGTATATCAATTTTAATGTTTTTGTCCCATGTATGTCTACACAGCTCTATGGACTATGTATGTTTCTATATTTGCTTCCACTAGCCCCTTATAGTTTGTTATTCAGATTAGAGGCCTTTGGTAATCTGAGGATTACTAGCCAGTTACGACGCTAAACTTAAAGCGGCGGGTTTGGGTCGTGACAGAGTAGTATCAGAGCACGTGTTATACCGCACACACAAGTCCATATGAGCTATAGGATGTCCTAGAAAAGAATTAGGGACATTTCATTTGCTACGAGTGTGTGTGTTAATTTCTGTAAATATGGAAACTAAATTTGAACATGAACACAAGAAATTGAAATGAATGAACTAGGAATGAATGTGCCTAATATTGTGAAAAGAACTATTTGCCTATGTTTATTTTTGTCCTGTTTACCTATAGCAATGGAAAATAAAAGAAGTGATGGAATAGATGAATCTTCCGAGGCTCGGATGAGCCAAATGGAACAAATGCTTGCAGCTCTAACTAAAACAATGATACAGTAGCAATGGCAATAACATTCGCCTCCTCTGCCCCCTCCGGTCCAAGTTGAGCCGGATAACAATGATATTATAAATTTAACTCAAAAGTTCATGAAGATGAAACTGCCGACTTTCTTCGGTGTTATTGAACCCTTAAAGGCAGAGACATGGTTACTCGAAATAGAGAAACTATTTGAAGTGTTTACCTGCTCTAAGACTCAGAAAGTTCTATTGGCCGCCTATATTCTAAAAGATGAAGCCTGCAGATGGTGGTTGCTAATCCGAAATAATAATGGGAACATAACGTGGTCTCAATTTAACAAGATTTTCTACAATAAGTACTTTCCTCAGTGCTTCCGGGACTGTAAGGTTTTTGAATTTCAAGAACTCAAGCAAGGTAACATGTCTGTAGCCGAGTATGAGGCTAAATTCACGGAATTAGCTCGATTTGCTCCCCATATGATGGATACGGACTATAAGAAGGCACAAAAATTTGAAGGAGGTTTGATGTTGGAAGTGTTTGACCAAGTTCGCATCTTGAAGTTGCCTACATATGTGGAAGTACTAGATAGAGCATTAATGGCAGAAACTACCTTAGCAACTATGAAACAAAGCAAGGCCCCAACAACAACAGAACGGAGAAGTAAAAGGTCAGGGAACAAGTTTAGAAAGGGTAACTCCTTTGGAAACAAGAAACAAAACACGAGATCTTCCAATAACTCTAGTCAGAGTAGCGGATCAATTCCAAACTGCCCTAATTGTGACAGGAAGCATAGAGGAGTGTGTTACCGTGCATCTAGAGCCTGTTACCAATGTGGCAAAGTTGGCCATATGATGAAGGTTTGTCCACTTGGTTTAGTGTACGCATCCCATTTTTAACTGTCCTCAAGACTTAGACGTCATCGTTTGTGCACTCGATGATTGTGACTATTTGTGCTCGTTTTGGTGCCCGAAGTCCTCGGTGGAATGCCTTGTCTTTGAACCTTTAAACCCCCATCCATTTTATGCTTTGTTTTGGACCAAAATCTTCAAGCTTGCAACCCTTGGTGGCTGCCGGCCACCAATTGAGGCTGTCAGCCATCCCTGGTGGTCTATCGGCCACATTAGTGACCGGCCAGCCATTGATGTCTTTTTGCAGATATTTTCTTAACAGCTGTTCCAGCTATTGGCACAATGGGCTTGATCACCATACACGTGTATGGACTGATATAACTCAACCAAAAGTTTGTTTTTCTATAAATATGGGACCTTCTCCCCCATTACAAAGGGTTAGAAAATTTTGGAGCAAAATTCTCTCTCTCTCTCTCTCTCTAGATTTCTCTCCCTCTCTCTTGCAATTTTGTATACATTTGCTCACAAATCCTATACTTTTGCATACACTTCCTTAATCAAACTTGATCACTTTTGAGCTGAGATCCTTGGAAGCCTTCTTGGAGCTGCAGAAGGTGTTTTTGACTTGACTTTGTGCCTAAAATTGCTGCGAGCTTCAAAAGGTATAACACTCCATTTTTACACTTGTTTTGCATACTTGTTTTTTCCATCTCTTTCAATTATTTTTGGACTGATTTTGAACAGTAAAAAACTCCATTTTTACGACCTAAAGGTGATGGTTTGAGGCCATTTTCAGTTAGGGGGTGGTTCACCCTTCTTACTTCTTTGCTTGTAAAGCTTTTACACCTTTGTTCACCACTTTGAAACCAAATTTTTTGGGCCTTTTAACCACTGAATTTCAGAAGTTTTTCAATGGTAAAAAAACTCATTTTAAAGTCCAAATTTGGAGGGGTTAGCCTCCCCTCCTTGTGTCTTGTTTACATGCCTAGTTAGCTCCATATGTTAGCATATTTTTCTAGCTTAACTTAGCTCAAGTCTAGCATGTTTTAGCTTCTGAAATAGCATGTTTTAGCTCTGTTTTGGGCTGATTAGTTCATTTGAGTCTTGCAATAGTCCTTATAAGTTGGTGTTTTAGGGTCTTAGACACCTCTTGTTTAAGTTAATAGCATCTTTTAGTGTTGCTTTTCATTCCATTTTAGCACTATAAACTCTGCAACCTTCCTCTTTGCTTTACTCTTTCATTTGCTTTTGAGGGTTGTTTCAAGCTTGGTATCCTTTAGGCTTGAGATTGAGGTCATGCCTAATGGTTTAATCCTCCTTGAGGGTTCATTATCAACGGCATGATCTCTCTTGCCTTACATTATCCCTTGGTTGACGCTTCTTTCATCTTAGAGGACGCTTACCAATGGACAAATTGATTAAAGAATGATTTGATAACTAAAATGTGTCAACAAAATTGGCAAGTAAAATTGGCAAGATAAGCATTCCTTTGTGTTGCATTGCATGTGTTCAAATCGGACGTTAATTTGAACGCAAGGGAAATAGGACATTTCATACTCAAAAGTAATGAAATATGTCACTTTCTTAGGTCTTCGTTGCCCTTGATTATGCATGATAGGGTGATGGCATTTGAGTCTTGTTTTTGCATTCATTGAACTTGTACAAATTGGTCCCTTAGCCATTATGCATGGAAATTGCTTGATTGATGGTTTGAGGGTCAAATATATCACTCCTTTGAGCTTGTATTGATGATATATACAGTACAAACAACCTGTAAGAATATTCTTTCTTTGTCTTGTGTGCTCTCTATTGTAGCAAAAAATGGCGTATCATCAGTGGCCTGCCGGCCATTAGTGATGGACGACAACCCCTCAATGGTGGCCGGTCGGCCACCACTTCTAGCTTGCCAGCCACTAATGAATTTTGAGCAATGTGCTTATGAAGCATGGTAGAGTTGATCTGGAGAATGAAACAGTGCAAGGGTTATGCAAACAGAAGCATTCGGGGACAAACAGAGGATGTTCTTCTAGTGGAAACCAAGCATGCATGAGCCTCCCTTACATCCCGCGCCGAGTTATCTTGTTAATTAGTTTAATATAATTAGCCTATGATTAGCCTATGTTGTAATTCAATTAGTTTGTGTTGTATTTATTTAATTAGTTAGTTATAACTAATTAATTTGTGTTGTAATAATTAGTTAAACTAGTTTAGTTAATTAATCCAAGTTTTGTAATAATTAGCTTAATTAGCTTAGTTTAGCTAGCTAGTTAGCTTTTATTCATTCGGACCCTCTTTCGCGAGGGTGAAATGTTGTAATAAGTGTGCGTACGTGTGTATGTCTTCCAACCTCACGTCTTTCTCCCTTTTATTTACCCGCTTTTAATGGTTAGATTAAGGACATGTTTCAATTAGCATACCTTATGTTTGCATCCATTCATTCGTATTGCATGCATCGAGGCTCGGCGCATCATTCAAATTGCATTGTCATTTCAATAATTCTTTAAATACATGTTCAACCGCATGTTATCAAATTGCTTCATATGCCATATTAGTAGCCGAGCCTATTAATTGCATTCTTCGCATGTGTTGCATTAGGCATCTTGTATAGTTAGGAATCATGCATATTTTTCTAACTTATATCTTTTTGGTTTGGAGTACTAGGTGAGTTTTTAAAGCTTTAGCATACTTGCATGAGTGTGAATGTTGCCATGATTAGCATGTTTTCCATGAGGCTAAATGCTTACTTGATAAACTATTTGAATGCTTGTAGATGAAGGCTTGTTGTTTAAATTGGAACGATTCAACAAATGTAAATTGTAAGCCCACTTTGTCGAGTGACAAATCAATTTTAAGCCCACTATGTTTGGTGGCAAATCCGCAAACTTTAAGCCTACTTGAGGTGGCAAATTCAAACCATTTTCACAAACAAACATGAGTTGAATTGTTCCAAATTGAGCAAACTAGTCTATACTTGCTTGTGCGTGTCACATAGTAATACTAGTTTAATAACCAAAACAAGAGCACATAATGTTTATAAAAAATTATATCATGATTAGTAGAGGCGATTTTTGATCAGGCGAGCGGGGGTGCTCAATTCATGACCTTACCCTCTCGTACATAAGTTCCTGAGCCGAGGCAACTTTGGTGATGATGGACACATGGCCTTCAACACGAGTCATGGGTTTCCTAAATTTTCTCAAAATAAAATATTTAGGCGGTGACTTTGTATCTGGCAAAACAGTCCACTTTTGGCATTTTTTGATTCAAAATCAATTTTTCAAAACGATTTGCCGGATTTGGACTCTTTGGTGTTTATTAGTTTCACATTGCACTTGTGAGATTAGATTCAGAACCACGAGAGTCCGAATTGTAAGGCTTCTTTTCGAGCTTTCGAAAGGGGGTGCGAACAAGCCGAGCTACAGTCGAAAAATGCCAATCGCCCCGTAACAAGTTCAACCGGATCTGCTTCTGTAACAAGGTCAAATGTTAGAACTAATGCTAGAGGTAACACTGGAAATGAGATGTTACGGCAAGGGAGAGTGTCCACACTGGTGCCTGGAGATGTACAGAACACTGAGTTTGTGGTGTCAGGTATAATTTCCATCCATGTCCAAAATGCATATGTTTTGATAAATTCTGGTTTTACACACTCATTTGTGTCGCATGTCTTTTCTTAAAAATTAACTAGACCTTTAGAACCCATGAACTATTTATTGTCTATGTCTTCGCCGTCTGGGAGTTCTATGGTATGTGCATATGTTTATCCAGCATATGATATTGTGATTAGTGATGTGAGGTTGTATGTTGATTTATTACCTTTGGGAATTGATCATTTTGACTGCATAGTGGGTATGGATTGGTTAACGAAGTATTGTGTAACTATTGACTGTGTGAATAAATCTGTTGTATTTCGTTCACCTGGTTTACCTGAATTTGTGTTTATTGGGAATGGGGCAGTTCCTTCCCCATATTTGATTTCTGCCATGAAAACTGTTAAATTACTTAGAAAGGGGTGTAAGGGCTATATGTGTTGTGTTTTGACTAAGACTTTTACTAGTCTTAATGTGGAAACTATCCCTATTGCTTGTGAATTTCCTGATGTGTTTCCGACTGAATTGCTTGGAGGCTTAATTGACAGAGAAATTGAATTCACTATTGATGTAATACCTGGAACGCAACCGATTTCCAAAACCCCATATAGAAAGTCAACTTCCGAATTGAAAGAACTAAAAATTCAACTCCAAGACCTCTTAGACAAGAAGTTCATCCGCCTGAGCACTTCGCCTTGGAGTGCTCCAGTTTTGTTTGTCAAGAAGAAAGACGGATCTTAAGGCTGTGTATAGACTATCAGGAATTGAACAAAGTGACCATTAAGAACAAATACTCATTACATCGAATAGATAACCTATTTGACCAACTCCAAGGGGCACAAATGTTCTCCAATATAGACCTTAGATCTGGGTTTCACCAACTAAAAGTTAAAGTAAACGACATAGAGAAAATTGCATTCAGAACTAGATACGGACACTACGAATTTTTGGTAATGCCATTTGGGGTAACAAAAGCACCTGCACCTGCAGTGTTTATGGACCTAATGAATAGGGTTTTCAAATAATTTATTGATGAAGTTATCATTATATTTATTGATGATATACTGATTTACTCCAGAAGCAGCGAAGAACATGAAAATCATTTGAGAATTGCTATACAAATTTTGAGAGAAAAGAAGTTATATGCAAAACTTTCCAAATGTGAATTCTAGCTTGGCAGCATAGCATTTTTGGGATAGGTAATCAACAAAAATAGCATATTAGTTAACCCGCAGAAAATTGAGGCTATTGCGAACTGGCCAAGGCCAACTAATGTATCTGAAGTTAGAAATTTTCTGGGGTTTACTGGCTAGTATCGCAGATTTGTGAGAGACTTCTCTAAGCTTGCCATGCCATTGACATAGTTGACCCAGAAAAATGTACCACTTGATTCCAAGAACTGAAAACTAGATTAGTAACTGCATAAATTCTGACCGCGTCAATTCTGACATTGCCCAGTGAAACCGATGGGTTTCAGATTTATAGTGATGCCTCATACAAGGGTCTGGGGTGTGTGCTAATGCAGAACGGTAAGATAATTGCTTATGCTTCTCGGCAACTTCGCCTTCATGAAAAGAATTACTCGACTCATGACCTTGAATTAGCAGTTGTGGTTTTTGCATTAAAGATTTGGCGCCATTATCTGTATGGAGTGACTTGTGAGGTGTACACTGATCATAAAAGTTTGAAATATTTCTTTACCCAAAAAGAACTGAACATGAGACAGAGAAGATGGCTGGAATTGATAAAGGACTATGACTTACAAATTTCATATCATCACGGAAAAGCCAATAAAGTTACAGATGCTTTGAGCTAAAAATCCATTGCCAATCTATCATGTTTGCTCACCAGTCAGAAAGAATTGTTATGTGACTTGGAAAGAGATGGAATAGAAATTGTGTTGCATGAACAATGTGGAGTCTTAGTTGCTATTTCTGCCCAGCCTGCAATTATTGAAGAAATTAGAGAGAAACAACGTGAAAATGAGTTCTTGAAAAAAATTGTTGATGAGATTGACTCAAAACCAAGGCCAGGATTTGTGTTTGACAATAATGTGTTGAAATTTCAATAACCGACTATGTGTACCGGAATGTTTTCATTTGAGGAAACAAATTATGACTGAAGCTCACAATTCTAACTTTGCTATGCATCTGGGTAATACGAAAATGTACAAAGATTTGAAGCAAAACTTCTGGTGGCCTGGAATGAGGAAAAGTATTGCTGACTATGTGGCTAGATGTTTGAATTGCCAACAAGTTAAAGCCAAGCATTAGTGACCCACTGGATTGCTTCAGCTGCATCTGATACCAGAATGGAAATGGGAGCATATTACTATGGACTTCATTTTGGGGTTGCCTCGCTCTTCCCGAGGTATGGACTCTATCTGGGTAATTGTTGGTCGTTTAACTAAATCTGTCCACTTTTTGCCTGTTAAATCTTTGTATAATATAGATAAGTTGGCTAATTTGTATGTCAATGAGATTGTGAAATTGCATGGAGTTCCAGTTTTCATAGTATCTGACAGAGATCCCAAGTTTACTTCAAGATTCTGGCAGAGACTACAACAAGCTTTGGGAACTGAGTTAAGACTGAGCAGTGCATATCATCGACAGACAGACGGCCAATCAAAAACAATGATACAGACTTTGGAAGATATGCTCAGAATGTGTGTCCTAGACTTTCAAGGCAATTAAGAGACCTATTTACCATTGGCCGAGTTTGTGTACAACAACAGTTACCATTCGAGTATCGATATGGCTCCTTATAAAGCTTTGTATGGTAAAAAATGTCGTTCTCTGATCTGTTAGGCCGATGTAGGTGACAGACCTTTGTTGGGACCGGAACTTGTGCAAGAAACAACGAAAAATGTGAATTGATTCAACAAAGATTGAAAACTACACAAAGCCGCAAAAAGAGTTATGCATATGTCCAAAGAAAAGATAGAGAATACAAAGTTGAGGATTATGTGTTCATAAAAGTGACTCCAATAAAAAGCCAAACACGATTTGGAGTGAAATGAAAGTTGGCACCGAGATATGTAGGACCATATGAGATTCTTGAGAAAATCAAACCGGTGACGTATCGGGTAGCCTTGCCTCCGATTATGGAGAATATGCACAATGATTTTCATGTCTCAATGCTTCGAGAATATTTGGGAGATCCATTCCACGTGATTGAACCAACTCATTTGCTTCTGAAAGAGAATTTTACTTATGAAGAACAATCAATACAAATTGTTAACCGCCGAATCAAAAGACTGAGAAATAAAGAAATTTCATTAGTAAAGGTTGATTGGCAAAACCACGGAGGGATTTATGCAACTTAGGAGACTGAAGAAGATATGATGAGAAGATGCCCTGATTTGTTCCCTCTAGATCCGGCGTTTTATCAAAACTAAGGTAATTCGAGTTTGGAGGACCAAACTCTTTTAAGAGGGGAAGACTGTAACAACCCCGACCCGTGAGCAACTTAAAACATATGATTATGAATGCCTAATACGTAATTAAGATGAAATTCTGATTTAATTGCATGTGTGTTGCATTAATTGTGTTTCTATCTGTTTATCGTAAAAATATATGCTTGTGTTTATGCTTTGTTCTGCGAATTGAAGACCTTATCGGCATCTGATCATGAAATTGGCTTGTTTTATGTGTTATTTGGACTTTTTGGGAATTTCTGGTAGGTTCAATTTAAATTTGATTCGAAACAAAACAATTAGAATAAAATAACTATAATTGTTTAATCTAAACAAGGTTTAATTCATTTCACTAATGGTACCTATATTAGCCATGAGTTGCCTCATACTGCCACTATATACACACTTCATCATCTCTTACCATCAAAAATGTGGGAGAGAAAAAGAAGAAGAGTTTGCGCTCAATTAGGAGAATTGAGAAAGAGAATAACTTAGAGGTTTTGGATTGGAACTTCAAATATTTGACTATCTAGAGCACAATTGAGCATCTAAGGTAAGGAATCAAACCCTTAGTTGTGTAATTGAGCTAGTACATGTAAGGATTCAAATGAAAGAGGTGGATTGACATGAGAATTAAACTAGAATTAAAGGATTGTAACTCAAACCATGTATGCATGCATAGTTCATGGCATTGAGAGGATGATTTTAAAGAATTTCCTTTTTGCATGTCCTTATTTTGGTTTTGTTCTAGGAATTCAACATGCCTTTGAGTTAAACACCTCATTTGATTATGTTTTGGATGCTTTGGAGTCAATTTTCATATTTCAAGTTTGAATTTGGAAGAATTGGCATGCTTTTGGGCCTTGATTTTGAGAAATGATCTTCAATTCATGTTATTCTACAAGTTTCTAAATGTTTTCTTGAGTTTTGGCCCAAAAGGATGAGTTTTGATGTGTTAAATTCGCATTTTGAGCTTAGGAGTGCAATCTGAAAATTCTAGAATTTTCACTCACCGCTCGAACGACAGAACCTGCGCTCGAGCAACCATTCTGTGTTTTTGCACTTCCGCTCGAGCGACCAAAAGTTGGCTTGAGCGTAAAATGCAAGCTTTCAGAAGTTTACACATTTTGCAGACCACTCGACCGACCAGAGTTACGCTCGAGCGAAGACTTCAGTCTCATGCTCGAGCGACCGTCGAGCTTGCGTCGAGCGAAAAAATCAAGCAATTAGTACTTTTGCAAAGTTTACAGACTGCTCGAGCGACCAAAATTGCACTTAAGTGACCTCTTACATTTTCGAACGTTCGCTCGAGCGAAGGAACTTGCGCTCAAGCGAGGCCCTTGTTTTCAGCATGTTTGACTAAGTGCTTTCAAGTGCATTTTAGCATCCTTATTGCGTCCTAGGCATTCCTAGGCCAAGATTAAGACCTAATAATGAGGATAAGACTTAGCAACACACAAAGACGAAATAAAAAAAGTTAAGTACGATCTGAGTGTGTGTTTTAGTATGTGTATTTGTTATGTTTGTGTAGGTCACGCGCCGTAAGCTGTTGATCCATTGGTTGCTATCAAGCTATCTGTGCAACTATGTGTGAGAAATAACTAAGTAAAGTTATGTTTTCTATGAAATACTTTATGAATATTGATATGATATGATATGAATTGTTTCTGAATGTTACAAAAGGCTATTTTGTGATTCCATGAATGATGATCCATATCTTTGAAATGTATTTGTGGTATCCTTAGTTGAGGCCCTCGCCTAGGGGACATAAGACGGTAGCTTATGGTCATGAGGCCCTCGCCCCGGGAAAACAATACCATGGCCTAGGCCCTTGCCCGAGGAAAACAATACCGTGGCCCATGTATGAGATATATTGCCTAGTACCGGAGGTTCCATTATGGAACTTGTTATACTTGACCAAAGTGATATGTTAATACTAATGGATGTACCACACATGATTTGAATACGAATATGGACATGACTCTATCTTGATACGACTATGCTTATCTCTCTGATTTATATAATACGAAACTGGACATCATTCATTAAAATCTTTACTTTATTATTATTCACTGAGCTTTCGCTCATTATTTATATTATGTATGTAGGTGATCAAGCACGTAACCAGGCTCAGAGTTGACGACCTGGAGTCCTTGTTCTGTTGGCCAACCATTGTGCCTCCCGTGGAGGTTCTAGAAAGAGTTTAGTGATCAAGTTTTGAGAACTTTTGTTGTTTTGTAAACAGTTCTTTTGCCTTATTTTGTATTATGACGATAAAGAATGGATGTGTAAATGACATCATACATGGGTTTATGTATATCAGTTTTAAATGTTTTTGTCCCATGTATGTCTACACAGCTCTATGGACTATGTATGTTTCTATATTTGCTTCCGCTAGCCCCTTATAGTTTGTTATTCAGGTCAGAAGCCTTCGTTGATCCAAAGATTACTGGTCAGTTACGACGCTAAACCTAAAGGGGCAAGTTTGGGTCATGACAAATAAGGGGGTGTACAAACTCGCAACCTAGATTAAAATGGGAGACTGTTTTAATTTCATTCTTGGTAACTTTTGTCTAGAATCATGTATTGCAAAAATTTCCTCATACTGCTTATCTACAACAATCCGATTGAAGTGAGTAAAGAATTAAACCATGTTATGATCACCTTTCCAATATCCCCTTAATGCTCCATTTAGACTTTCACTAAGTTGTGTGCTTAGCATTCCTCCAGTAAATACCCACTTCATATACACATGCGCGCCCACTGCTCTTTTTTTCTCCAAGTTCTTTTCATCCACTCATTCTCTTGCAAGTTGTATTTATCAATCAAAGAATTCTAAGTTTCAATTAATTCATACTCATTCTTGTAGTAGTCATAAATGCAAGCTTTTAAATTGCTACTAAATTTTGAACCGCTCTTGAACAAGTAACCTAAATGCTTCAAAGTATTTTGCACTAGGTGAAAAGTGCACAACCCATGAAAAACCTTAGGCATAATTTGTGAAATTGCCTTAGCCATTGCTTAATCTTGGTCTGTGAAAAAACTAATAGTCTTTTTTTCCTGACATTACATCTAAAAAAGTTTCAAATAACCATTCAAATGACACTGCAGTTTCATCATAAAATAATGTTGCACCAAAAATCACTGTCACTCTAAAGTGCTTAAAGCCAGAAAATAAAGCAAGTGGACGATACTCCTAAGTTGTTTGAAAAGTTGTGTCGAATGACACAGCATCACCAAAAAGCCTATAATCTATTATCATCTGATGATCAACCCAAAAAATATTAGTAATCATCTCATTTACATCCAACTGTATGGCATAGTAAAAATATGGATTTTCTTCCACTTGCTAATAGAAATATCTTAACAAACTCTCTGCTTCACCATACTGCAAGTTTCGTTGTCTTTTTGCACGTAAGTAGGTTTTTTGATCCTTCCGCATGAACCCTACAAATTCCTTCCCTTCTGCTATAGCACTAATAAGATCATGTGAAGCCTTAAGAGATATTTCAGTCTCATCAGCTATATCAATATTTATACCCTAAGCATCACATATATTTCTCTGAGATGGCACCAAATGAGTACATTGAGGAAGATACAAAGGGTGGTTGTGGTTGTTATCAAACTTTGACACAATCCACTTTGACAAGTCCTACTTAAAAGATATATGCATGAATGCATTACAATTTATTCTTGTCTCACTTCGAGGATTTTTTTTTATCATCATATACTGTTTATCTTTTTCTCTCTCTCCCTCCTTACAACAAACAAACTTTCTACTAGTCATAACACCATCTTCCTTACTTTTGTTACAATAATCTCTTCTAATACTAAATCCCACAATTCTTCCATATTCATTATAAAACTCGTATACAGCTTCTTCTGATGGAAACTCCATACCAAGATATGGTGATTTATCCTTGGCCAACTCTCTCATTTCTTCGATGCCTCCCTCAAGTCCACCATCATTCATTATACCATCCTTCGTTTCAACACTACTAAATATGGGGGGAAAAAAAATTAAACGAAACAAGAATCTAAACAAAAAAGTAATTAATTAATTTTAAATGCTGAGTAATTAAACAATTCAACGAAATCTAATAAATCAATTAATAATGTAAATTAATTAAAAGGATAGGGGAGAGGAAAAAAAAGATGTGTAATTTGTACAGTAGCATTGGAAATTTATTGTGTCTAAGTAGATTATAATATACAATTGCAAAATTATATTAGAATTAGTATATTATATAATATAGGAAATCTTTTGGCATACACTTTTAAAGATGTGAACCATATGCCCTCTCATTATATAATTTTTTGATATATGTTTCGTATTTTTGTCACAAATGTTATGTCATTTTTAATTGAGTTATGACAATTTATGATTAAAAAATTAAATTCGTATTTTGTAGTAAAGTTATACAGTTTTTTATTGAAACTTTTTTTAGACCATAAAATGCATAACATTATTACAAAAATACGGACATTGTTATAAAAAAATGTGTAATATATCCACAAAAATACGTAACATTGCTATAAAAAAATTATGAATTACAAATTATCATAACTCTTTAAAAAAAATTATATAATATTTATACAAACATACATAACATGTACAAAACAAATTACATAATAAAGAATTTTTTTTATAATATACAATTGTGTTTCTCAATCCATTTACAGAAAACAAACCAAACCATTATATTTGTTGAACCCACTAACACACTGTACAAAATAAAATACAAAACATATATATATATAGATACACATACCAATTTGTTAAACAATAATAGTTTGTAAATCCGGGAGAAGGATGATGAAGCAAAGATAGAGAACACTGTTCAATCCGTTGAGAGAAGACAAAAATGTATAAAAAAAAAATTAAATAACTAACTTTTCTACTCCATGTAAAGTAGAGACCTTTTCCTTGAGGGGTAGAAAAGACGAAGTAGCTGGATAGATTGTTTTGTTATAATAAAATAAGAATTAATGAAACCCTTACATAAAAATAAAAAATAAAAAAGGAAAAACGGTGTCGTTTCATTGCACAGCAGACACGACAGGGAATGATGCACCACGGGGATCCCGTGTCCTTGCAAAATACATATTCAACAAAAAATAAAAAATAAAATTGTTACAACTTGGGTTTTACATGAATATGTATCAAGTAGTTTGTAGTTATGTGGAGACATAAATATAAATTTTTTTAAAAAAAATTAAAGTTAATGTAAATTAAAGATTCTTAGCTTTGTGGTTTTTTGTTTTTGTTTTGGCTTTTTTGTTTTGTTTTGTTTTGGTGTTTTTATCTTTAGCTTGCTTTTAGAATTAAGCATTGGTTTGTAGTTTCTCTAACGCAATGGCATTAAACTAGGTTGATGGATCCTGATTTTTTTATTTTAGTATGGAACTCTGAACTTGAAAATTGAAACTCTAATTAAGTTTGACATTAAACTCTATTCTAGTCTGTATCTTACTTTAATTTATTTTCATATATAATTTTCTAATTGTTATATAATTCTCACATATTTATGATTTACTTATGATTTATAAATGATTATAAGTATCCAAATTTTAGTATGTGTGGGTGGAAAAATTATTAGTTGGTCCAAGAAAGTCACGTGATTATACATCTCACCAATCACAATTTAGCATACTTCATCGTGTTTTCCTAATCACCCAATACCAATTCGTGAGCCTCAATCCCTCCCCTAATCACAACACTGCTGAATACCATGTAATGACACCCCAACACCAACCAATAACTTCTAGTGTGAGTGGGTCTAAAATGCTTTGCCTTCGGGATGTTCCCTCTCATAAGAAAAGGAACCAAAAGAAAAAAAAGAAAAAAAAAATTGAACAAGAAAAAGAAGGATTGTTTAATTGTAATATTTTATTTTAGTTTTGATGACTCCTAAATTTAATAATATGTTAATTACATCCTCCATTTTGTGGGTCATTAATTGGAAGCCATGTGACAGAAATCAGTTGATTATTTATTTAGTTACACTTAATAAGAAAAAATTTATAAATATTAAGATAATTATACTATACTAGACAATCAATAATATAAGAAAATCTAATTAAACAAACGGCAAATCCAACAACAACAACCATCATAAGAAAATTGAACAATCAACATAAAAATAGAAAGTCTATGAACCACTAAAAAAAATAAAAATAAAAATAAAAAATCAGAAACTTATCGAGAAATTCAAGTATAAGGTGAAGATTTGATTTTCTTATTGTGGGACCCAATCATAAATAAATCTTAAACATAGATTATTGTAAATCAAAGTATTATATTACAGCAGGAAAAAATATCAGAATCATACCTTGTAGCGAAGAACCTCGTGGGTAAATCACGTGCTTCCAAAATCTGAACAACGAACCCAGCAGTGGAGTAATACTACCGAATGAGTATCACCCACACAAGTCACAGTGCAAAATGACTTGATCGTTGTTTTATGGGAGAGAGTCCGAGAGAGAGTATGGGAAAAATGGTTATGGGTAAAAACTACATAACGTATATCTGATATACGTATCTCATAAATTAACCATATAATCTGATATATAACTACATATATATCAATCTATCCATATCTATTGATATGATAGATATAGATATCCTGAATGGTTATCCAAATAAGTTTTAAATTCAAATTTAAACTTATATGAATAAGGTTCAAAAGGTTCAGGTTCAAAGGGTCATGACACATGGGCGCCCAATTTCTAACATCTCCCACTTGCACATGAGTTGGCATGACACTGCCACATCTCTTATCTCAATCTCCCCAAAAAAGAACAATCTTATACTAGCCAATGCACCGTGCGACTACTGAGAACACCTGCATGTGGGAGCTCTATACTAGAAACTCAAAATGAGCCAGCATAGAGACATCCATCAACCCAAAAAGAACAGAAATAGTGTCTCATATACCCCAGACCTATCTAATTACACCGGTCCAAAAAACATCTCTAATCCCTCAAAAGAGAATGTTTGACCCTCTCAATTCTTACAATATATTCACACTCAATCTGCTTCTCATACAGAGCGATATGAGTTGCCAGCAGTGAATATACAACAGTGGTGTAATACTAGATGATCTTCCCTTTGCCCTCCTGCCATTTAGTTTAGGATTGACCGCTTTCCCAATGATGTCCCTTAAGGCCGAATCATACACGACCGCAGGCAACATATCAAAGTAGCAGAACATCAACCCTTTACCTTATGACATAGTCAAAAGTCACAAAAGGGTACATAAATGAAAGTCATATCAATAATGACACATAAGACTCACACGGTGAGGAAACAGGGATCCATTCTCTTTTGCCATGAGGCTATTTGGGTAAATGGTGCTTGTGAAGTAGAGGCAATGATGGTGCTGGGAAGCCTTGACAAGGGTGTAAACGAGGCTTATCAACAGGAGGAGGGTCAGGTATATTCACACGCCTCACTGCATGACTTCGGAAAGGCAAATGAGGATTATCAAAAGGTGGAGGGTCATGTGTATTCACCAGGTTTTCTAAAAAGTTGTAGTGGATCGGGTGTAGCTAGGCCTGGTATCAGCTTAGAGGTCTTTTTGGGCCAAGCTCGAACAATCAATTGTGGGCCTCCAGAGTCTGTGGTTAGGGCAGACCCTGAGCAATGTCCACCAAATAAGACCGGGGCAGATAGGCCCAATGAGGAATCCATTAAGAGTAGGCCTAATGTGATATGCACCGAACCCAGTCAGTCTAAACTGAGGAAGGGTATGTCGAAAGAGAAGAAAGGCTCGAAGGACAAAGATAAGAAGGGCGAGAAGAAGAATCTGGGTCACTGTAATCAAAAACAAATCGGTGGTTTTTCTGGTTTTGTTAGAAATATGAACCAGATAAGTGCATCATCTAGTAAGAAAGGGTCTAAGGGAGTAATTTTCAGGCCGGCAGTGGCAGCTTTAGCGTCCTCCTCTTCGTATGGCAGCAGTTCAGGGGAAGATAGATTAATCCGGAAGAAGCTCGCGCTACTCTTTAAATGGGGAGGCAGTTAGGGATTAATTATGAAGAGAAAGAAGCTGAGGCCTTAAAGAAGATCTCTGAAATGGAACTGAAGGACAAGGGGCGGATGGGAGAGGGTCAGAGATTGTGAGTTGGGCTATGTCTAGAGGGGTTGCAGAGTTATATTTGTCTTCTAATGAAGATTCTATCATGGAATTGCAGAGGATTGGGTAGAAGGGAGAAAAAAGGTAAGATTAGAAGCATGATTATAGACAGAAAAATTGATATTGTTCTCCTCCAAGAGACCAAGTTATCAAGCTGTACTGAGCTAGATGTTAAAGCCCTATGGCCAAAAGCCAGAATGGATTACTCGTATGTAGATTCAGATGGGAATTCAGGAGGTTTGCTTTGCATTTGGGATCCAGGGACTTTTCAACTTTCAGATTGCTGCTGTAATAGGAGCTTTATACTACTTTCAGGTACTATTCTCAATTCCTTTGAATGTGTCTTAGTTAATGTATATGCTCCTAATGTAGTGGATAGGAGAAGGAAGCTCTGGGACACTCTGGAAAGGTTGAAATCTGCTTCCTCTAAGCCCTGGTGTATTGGTTGTGACTTCAATGAAATCAGATGTGTATGCAGGAGGTGATAGGAATGTGGTTTAGTTGAGGGACCATAGATCCTTTGCAGAAGTAGTTGCTGACAAGACCATTCAAGATCGGGGTAGCATTATAGTGGAAGTTGATGAGGTGGGTAATGGATGGTTGTACGAGAGTGTTATTATAAGACTCAAAACGAATCGCTGTGCTCAAGAGTTGAAAGAGGAGTTAAAAATACAAGGAGTGGGTGAGGTTTTGGTAAGAGAGGTGGGTGGCAGAGATGTAGTTGTAACGTTCGATTCTAAGGATCAGAAGACGTCTAAGATGCCACTGTGTTACCCTTGGATCCATGAATGGAGTGAGTTTATTACTGAATGGATTGCTGGTCTAAATTTGGACC